AGCTTGTATTCTGCCCAATATTTCTCCAACGTACTCAGCTTACGCTTAAAATAATCCACTGTTTTCCTATCGGCACTATCCTTTTTTATGTTAATGCCAAGTTTTACAATGCTATCGTAGAGAATTGCTTGGGTGTCAATTAAATCCGACATGTTTGGAGTGTAACGGAAAATCCTTACTGACTAAAAATAAGGAAATTTATTACTTGTTTTCTCCGCTGTTGGTAGGTACTCAGCCCCTTCTGTTGTTCTGCTTTTCTGCTGGCTCCGATAGCTCCACGACGCACCCACTTTAAGATTGTTCGGATAGTTCAGACCGCGCACACAGAATATTCGAAATTGCGCGACGCGTGGTCCGATCCGGCTCGAAGGACCAAAAAATATGTAGGATTACGTAGTTAGCTGTCGGTGTTGGTTGTTTAGGTAGAAAAATTAATGTTTATGTGAATCACACTGTTTATTATTATTTCCCACAAATGTTCTTAATGTTAACTAATCTAGGATGAAATGTTTAAAATGTTTGAATGCACCCGGTTGTCGCGGTAGACGAAAGTGCACTGAATATATAATAATACATATTCACTTAGAACGGCGAGTTACGCCGATATTGCTGAATACGGTGTTCGATGAACAACTCGAACAATACCTATAAACAAGATTTTACACAACGTACACCGCACTCGTACAAAAAAACATTATAAGCAATTATCTACACACGTACATACATACCTTCTGGACTATGTTAAGCAGATATATGACGGTAAGTTTAGCTGGAGGTTACCGTCAGTACAGTACTGGGTAACCTAACGGAACCAATACAGTGCGCCTATAAATCCGACCGGGCGTCCGAACACTTCACCTGTCTTAACCGCGCGCTCCTCCTTGGCGGACAAAGATTGGAAGCAGATGGATACGAAATTCAAACAGTAAGCGCTGTTTCGTACTATGTCCTGAATCTGTGCTTCCCGACAAATATAACTTTTAAGGTGTTTTCAAGTTTCGAGTGAACATGTAGCTCATGGGTATACGTGCTCCAATCGTCGGCCACATCTTCGCTTACCAGGTGGTCTCGAGGTGGTGGCTAAACGTCGACCTATCATGTATAAAAAAAAATGTCCGATCCGAAACCGGGAAAACATGGTCCATAGTAGTCGTAGAACTGTGTAATTTACGCTGTAGATACGCTATCCATCATTCAATTTCTACAAAAAAAAAACAAGAGTTATGTGTACTAAGTACGGATCATATTTTAACAGGTTGAAATCGGATACGGATAGGATAATTTCAATAACGTGCTATTGAAGAAAATCATGTCGATTGTCGAGTAGTGAACGAAATACCAAAATATTATTAGATGAAAAACGCAAAGTTTACGAGTTAGTTCTACGGGCTGGGCAAAATATAGTAAAGTTGTGTTTTATAATAACTATCGTGAGACATACTAAATTAACTTAAATCGCGGGTTACTCAATGATGTGAGCTGCGCGACGTCGCCGCGACTCGCACGCTGCTCATGAGGAAGAACCCCTCTGTGGTTCGAAACTAGTAGAGCTTTTCTTAGTATATTCACGTGAGTAACCCGGGATTTTAGTTAATATTGTAAAGTTTTTCCATTTCGTGAACTGTTTTGCGTCAATCACGTTTTAACCTCCAAGAAGAAGCAAGAAAATTAAGCTCATTACAAAACAAAACAGTCAAAACAATGAAATCTATTCTTATCCAGCATTTAAATGAATCTAAGGTACAACAACCATATGTTAGCCAAGAAAGGGTTGAGCAAGTGCTACCTGTGGGGGCTGGGGTGGGTGTAGCGGGGTGGGGGCAAGGATTTACACCCCTCATTTGTTTGCAATGACCCCCAGCACTATCTCCTTAGAGCGTCTTGGTATCGCCTTGGCTTAAGCGTCGCTAACAGTATTATGTTTTAGGCGCTTTTTGTTTACCCACATGAACCTATTATTTATTTTATTTTTTATATATGATCGGCCGACGTTTTACCATTATCTCGCCTGGTAGATATTAGAATAGCTATGTACCTACTTACATAGTAATATTTGATTCTTTGACAAAGTAGGTGGTACTTACCGAAGTTAGCAAAGGAGGTAATTTTTTTGTTAACACTGATATCTTGTAGACAGCTTGTTAAGAAAATACTTAGACGTACATACATAGATTCTTTAAATATACCTTCAAACCTTACACGAAAGCGTGTCTGCTTTCTTTAAGACCAACCTATGACTCTTCTGTTGTTACGGGGGTGGGCAGATTATCCCATAATAATTCTTTAAAGCCCTTCTTTTTGAAGTCGGTAAATTAATATAGTAAAACCTTCCTCTAAATGTTACGAACACTTTTCTCAAAACCACATTAAAACCGGTTCAGTCAATCGCGAGATATTCGCGCACAAACATACATACAGATCGAACTGAAAACCTCCTTTTTTTGAAATTCGGATAAAAAACACAAGCACATATAAACGTAAGTAAACAGCAAAGCCAAGACAAATCATTTAAAAAATGCATAACTAGGCGACCATTTTGTTAATGTTCACTTTACGTCGTTTTAATATTAAAACTGTTGGCAATATTTACGTTGGTTATTAGCTAACACGATGACACTGCCACTTATCCTCTCTTTCACTGTCTTCCACTAAGATTGGAGGTTCTTAAGCGATGTTGCAAGTTCGGATAATGGTGGAACTAAGTGCAGTTTACAAGATTTTTATACTGATGTTGTAGTGAATCTTAGTGTTTAGTTTGTAGGAACATGAATTGGTTATTTTTACACCTGTGTATGTGTTGATGTGTGAGTGGAGACCGCGTCTAGGCAAACGCAGTGTAGGGCGCCCTCCAGCTAGGTGGAGTGACGACATCTGCTAGGTGGCTGGCAGTGGTTGGATGAGAAGAGCTGAAGACCGAGCTCAGTGGCGTGCCATAGGAGAGGCCTACGTCCAGCTGTGGACGAATACAGGCTGATGATGTATGTGTTTACAGATAAATGATGCATAATACAATACACACTCGATTACTAGCACAACTGGTAAAAATCATATTATCTTCATTGTCTTTCATTTATTGTATTGAGATTCGCGTGCTGAATTTCTAATCATTCAGCCATGGTTAGAACCTTATAGACCGAAGGCTAAAAACATATCGAAATGACTATATTTCTCATGTTTATATATAGGTATTATTATTTTCTTTAAATACGTTGCCCCACGTTAGGATTTTCTCCTGTGTCGTGCGAGCGTTTACAAACATACAAGTTCACATACACATGACACTCAGATCCGGAACAACATGTGGATCACACAAAAAGTTGTTCCGTGCGGGAATCAAACCCGTGGTACATTGCGCGGCAGCCGGTTGCCCAGTCACTGCGACAACCGCGCAGTCATTAACACAGCATATTATTAACACTTTTGTGTGTTTTCTCACTTAATGTTTTCAGCTTACTCCCGTAACTGTTTAAGTAAGAACTCGACTAGTTTGAAGCCAAGCTGAAGGCTCATATTCATGAGCAGCATTACGCGCCCCGCGACACGGCACCTGTCGTTCTGCCATTCCTATTATAACTCATATAATTTTAATTTAAATAACGATTTTAAGACTAGATAAGACAGATTCATTACATCTTTCTTAATTTTTCATCTTGTTGTAAGATAAACTGTAGGATAAATTCATATACGGGTCACAAATATGTATAATGATATTTTTATCTATACGATTATATTTACGCATTTTATGTATGCTTTTGATACCCTTTTATTAATTTGGATAATTACCACTATCTCTCACAACATTTTTGCAGCTTACCACCTACCACATACATTTCTGCACTACCCAAAGGATGACTGGCAGAGAATGCTGTTAGCATTAAGTCTTCCTAATGCAATTGTATAAAACTTAAATAAATAAAAAAAATTATGAATGTGCATTTATTAAAAGCAATACAAAGGAAAAAAACACCAAAACAATTACTGGATGTGACGACGGTAAATGTCTTGGGTTTGAATATTAATCACATAATACATACACACAACAGGCACTTATACGTAAAGAGTGATTAACAATCAATTTATAACTCTGTTATTAACATAATTGCAGTTGATTACATCTCTGGTCGTAGATTATAAAGGATGCTATTTGCCATACGACAGTTAGTCCAAAGCAATATAACTGGATTATTTTACGATTGAAACAGGTTGTAGGTACCCATCGATCAGGTAACATAGACGTTAGCAAGGTATTCAATGCAATATTTCTTAGCAATTCTTGTAAGAAAACTCGAAACAAAACGCTACATGTAATACAGAAATAAATGATATTCAAAGTCAAAGGCACTTTTGAAACATCAAAAATTAATTTTCCATCCGTTTATGTCAGTGAAGCTAGGTGCTCACTCCAAAATGTAGTTTCGAATGGAGAAAAACGAGCATGAAACTCCATCGTTACTCGTTTAAAAAAAAAGTATTGTCTTATTGATACGTTTATCTCTGATCTATTAGGTAAACCTAATGTGCTACTTTAGTCGCGGAGAACCTAACGGGTAACCGGGGCTCCGTCTCGACGTGCAGGAGAAGGAACGGGGTGGTTTTTAGTCAGTAAGAGTCTGACACTCCCCGCCTCACCTAGCCGGGAGCAGTCATTCGATGATTTTCCCCCATTAAAAAAAAGGGTTACATTACCTAATTTACCTACTGTCGAACATACATATACCTATAGTGGGTTCCATTCCTTTACCTAATAATCTCTTGACAACGAGATTAGGTGACAATAATGAACACTTCATCTGCCGGGGATTTTTAGCACCCCCGGGGAGCCAGTGGATGCAAGTCGCGAGTTGTCGTTCGACGTCGAGGACTAAGGGGGTCTTTGTCCAGCAGTGGACGGCTTTCGGCTGTTGATGAAGATGAATGAACACTTGTAAGAATAAATAAAATTGTATGATTTTACTTAATATTCTGTCGCATGACTTCTATTGTGCATATAAAAAAACAATTAAGTGCGAATGTGATGTCACGCGACAACACTTCCTGTTACACATCTGTGTCTATAAGAACGAAGTATGGAGTAAACCGGTTAAGATAAATCTCAATCCATTGACAACCCTCGGTCATAACAGTCACGACATGAGTTTCAAGAACAAAGTGGTGCTGATCACCGGAGGCAGCGCCGGTATCGGAGCAGCCACCGCTAAACAATTTGCTAAAGAAGGAGCCAGCATCGCCATCGTAGGCAGGAACGAGGCTGGACTGAAGGCGGTGGCGCAGCGGTGCGATCAACATGGCAGCAAGACACTCGTCATCAAAGCAGATGTGGCTGACGACGCACAGGTGAAGATTATTGTCGAGAAGACGATCAAAGAGTTCGGCAGACTGGATATCCTTGTCAACAATGCTGCTGTGCTGAAGAACACGACGCTCACGAGCCCCGACGTGATGGAGACTTATGACGAAGTGATCAATATCAACCTACGAGCAGTGATCCACTTAACCAGCTTAGCGGCGCCACACTTGATAAAGACTAAGGGGAACATCATCAATATCTCCAGCATACTCGGTAAGACGTACGTGCAGACGCCACAGCTGATGATGTACTGTCTCTCTAAGGCAGCGCTGAATCACTTCTCCCGTGGCGTAGCTCTGGAGCTGGCAGCTTCTGGCATCCGAGTGAATATTGTGAGTCCAGGTCCTGTGCGTACTCACATGCTAGCGACTCTGGACAATAATAAAAAGGTCGATGACCATGTGGAACCTACAGCCTTACGCAGAATATCGGAACCCGAAGAAGTAGCTGATGTGATCCTGTTCCTGGCCAGTGATAAAGCTAAAGGTGTTACAGGATCTGACTATTGTGTAGATAATGGAGTGCTAATAAAATTTTAAAAGAAGTAGATGAATAAATTATGTGAATAAGTATTTATTGCATTATGTTGAACGCATGCAATTGGACCTATTTATATTCCAGGATAATATGACATTTTAGTTCCTTAAAACTAGTGACTACACCCAAATTCAGCCGTAAACGAAAGTGGATTGATATTAACATAAAAATATATGTTTAAATAAACAACAACCACGAAGCTTATTTAGTAAGGTCAATATACCTTTACATATTATACACTGTGTCTAATATTAATATTACACTCACATCCACAACACCCACTGTAATCGAATACGCACAAATATATCAATCATAGTAATTACTTCACGTCGTTTCCCCAAGAATACGACAAATGTGACGGTTACGACAGATCCGACAATTTTTTATCATACAACCATGTCCCAATTCCCAAGTCGGGAGCTAGGGAGGTAATAGATAGCCAGTGTGAAACAATTCTAACAGTAATTGGGGTAGATGCCTCATGAGGATCTGTGACACACTTGACATATGACGATATTGTGTAAATTGTATGGCCATATTTTGTACGTGACGTGAACTGGTGCTTCCACCCTACTTTTGATTATTTGAATATTTATTTGTTTTGTAGTTCTATGGAATATTTGACTACCTTTGGTCAAGTTCAGTGATCTGTAAGTACAACAGTCGAGTAAATTCTCAGCTAAATAAAGGCACCTATTTCAGGTTTGCAGCCTCAACTAAGAATTGTTTAGGCCGTATTCAGTTCTAGGTGGACATCATATATTTCAAATACAAAGTCGTACCAAACCGACCATCTAATTAAAATAAATATAATCTTGTAACCTATACAATGAGTATTACGAACCATTTTGTATTATTTAGGACGTTTCATGCACATGAGGTACCAATGCAAGAGGGGCGTATAATTTTAATTCTCAAATGACCTACAACTTATAAGCCACGATAGCTTACTATAACTTGGCCAATTACTTAAACACATAATTTAATGAAACCCAAGGTGTATCAATGTCTGAAACAACGCACGTCCGTCACAGGCTAATGCCCGCGGCGTATAGACGCGAATAAATATTGTTTGTTGGTATCATAAATTTGGGCCGAGACAGACGTCGGGACGCGTGTCACCTTTTGATACATTTCTACTGTCGTTATTAATGACAAGTCATCGGTGTCCTCCCGGCGGACAACGCAGGGTTGTCGAGGGTATGGTGAAGTTGTTCTGAAGAAATTGAATAAAGGTACCTGATGTAAAGTACCTAGGTGTCTGAAATATGTTGTGTTTTGGTTTTGCGGTTCGGTACATACTTAAAGACTGACATATTTGTCTGACTGACACTATTTAACTGATACTAAGACCTAAGTCTACAACTTACCATGCCATTTGCAATTATAACAACCGTTTCTTTAATACTTCTACCTAACTTGAGCCGAGAGCCCAGTCTAATGCTTACTTAATATTTTTTTTCAATCTGAATATTATCACTTACAATAATGCATTTAAGCTGTTGAGGATTTCCCGCCCAAATGTAAACCAAAAATATGACATATATAATCATACAAGCCCCAAATTCCTAATCCCTAAAAGGCCGATAACGCACTTGTAACATCTCTGGTGTTCCGGGTGTGCATGGGCGATCCGATTGCCTACCAACAGGTGCTCTGTCTGCCCGTTCACAGGCTTAACCCATAAAAAAAACTACAAAATTTCCTGTGAAAATTAAGTTGATAGTTTTCTCTTTTAAAAATAGTAGCAGCCCTAGTATGAGGGCCTGCACAGCATAATAATAGATCGGAGAGGGAGGCATATCGTACATTCACCACCCTTTAATATCATGTGAGAGTCCTCCTAAATTTATCAATGGTTTCGCAACCGGCTCTCGGCTTTGTGTTACTTATTCAGCTTACGAAGACCACATTGATCTCTCCTTTAAAAGGACATCCTGTTTGTCTAAAACACACATCTTTACTTGTGGTACTTTTTTATGGAATAGGAGGCAAACGAAAAAACGGATCACCTGATGGTAAGTGATCAATGCCGCCCATGGGCACCCGCAACATTAGAGGCGTCACAGGTGCGTTGTCGGCCTTTTAAAAAGGAATACGTTCTTGATTGTATTGACTTTTGACCGTGGTACGGTGAGCTCCAGTTTATATTCAGCGCGACACTAAATAGTCAAATTGATGGTAAATTAGGTACCAAGAACAAACTGAGGTATAGGTACTATAATATGCATTTATTTATTTACTTATATATGCTTTATTGTACACATTTAAGTAGCTTAAAAACAACCAATTCAAGTAAATATGCGAAGGTACAATGGACGGTCTTATCACACAATGGTGAATTTCTTCCAGAGAACCTTTGGATGGAAATATTTTTATGAAACCAGATAAAGGGTAGTTAAGTGTACAATAAAAAAAGACAAAATAAAAATACCTACAATACAACCAACAATAGATATAATATACTAGCAATATATAAAAAAAAATTGCATTGCACTTACCTTTGAACAGAAATGGAATAAGTACCTACTTAATTTAACAATATTTTTAGGGACCATTGGAATCACCTAGTTGAAACTCTCATCCACCGTGAAATAAAATTGAGAGCAGCTGATCCAATAGGTATTGCCACAGTTATGAAATCACCTAAATATTTTTTATTTCCCATAAGAGTTGACGTTTTTGCACACAATACCTGAATGTACTAGAGACCCGATTTTTGCTATCGTTCTGCAAAAACGAACACCGAAAAGCCCAATGAAAATTACCTGGGGAATGGGACCCATGGTCAACACACATGCAGCCACTTAATAGTTATCGATGTCAAAGCAATCAAACAGCGAAAACATTTATGTATAATAACAATAGAAGTAGGACGGTACAAGTACGTATTTAGTCGCAAGTAAATTCCTAATCGCAATTCAACAAACAGCACCCACTTATTCAATGCCAAGAACAATCCAGAAACCGTTAAACCATACAAAATATTAAATTACAACGAAAATTCACGTACGAAATCTTGTAGAATGGAATTTATTGCCTCCTATATGTTGTTTTATTTATAAGAAAGCATGGGCGGCGCTGAGGGAGATGAAATTACGTGATACCATTGCGAATCAAAGTGATATACGGGTGTGTGTGTGTGCTACTATTAGTTACCTGAGTGTGCGTTTGTTCATTTAAGAGTTTGAGCCTATTTGGAATATTACACAATTGTTTACTTATCGAGGCAATAACTCCCTAGCTAAATAGTTTTTTTTGTGATGAGACGGTAAAGCAAAAGCAACCTATAGACCACAACACGGAGTCAAGGATTTGAGAATTGGGATTGGGGGAGATATAGTGCCTCCAATGACCTCACTTGCACGGCACGAAACATAACGATAAGCATTCTTTTACGCCGGTTCTCTGTAAGGTCGAGCCGGCCCATATCAGCCAAAACAGTTACACCTACTTATTAACAATATGAATTACCCAAATAGTTACTCCAAGCTGGATATCAAACCCGGACAAGCAGCACATCCTCCGGTCACCCAACGGAAACGATTGCCAAACTAAGCGTGCAGTCAAACTACTTTCGTATTGCTTTTTATAATACCTAATATATTCTTGAAGTTCAAAACAATATATGTATATTATTTAATTACTTTGAATATTTTTTAAAATAAAACAAGCTATTATAGCAATAAAATTACAAAAACATCGTAAAATTTCAAAAACGATACATTACTTGCAACGGAATGAAACGAAACGTAATATGAAAATACCGCGACAAGAACTGTCAAAGTGAACTTGTGAAATTGTCGGCCGTTGAAAACAAGAGTTTATTTTATTTATTTTACAATGGATAACCGTTTGTACGAATCTAAGTTACCAAACCATAAAATATTTAAAGATCTAAAGGAGTGTATGAGTGAAAATCCTAGTAGAAAGTTGCGTAATTTGATCGAATTGAAGGATGATGTGTTTTATGTTTGGAACACGAAAGAAAATTGTTTATTGAGTTTGAATTTGAAGCATTTGGAAGAACATGGAGATGAGACGCCGTATCAGGTAAATTATTAGTTAATTATTCCTTATAATAACCGTTTTAGTCGCATTATCCCCGCCGGTTGCATGTTTTATATGAAAACATTTTGAGGTTATGTTGTCTTGTTGTAAACACAACTTGTCTAGACTTGTTCTGCCTCTAATGATATTCTGTATCCAATTATAACACTTACATACATAAATATAAGCTAATAACCTTTGCACTATTGGTTTAACTACAAACATATCAGAGAAACTCAAACAGAGTCGATAAGTTAATTCTAATTGAAGCATTCACTTCAAAATAGTTGTAGTAGTAGTAGTATTTTTAACCTTATGTGTACAGTAAAGTGTGTCATTATTGTATAAATATTGTTTGTTGTTTGAGTGACACTTGATGCTTGTTCTAATTAGGATTGAGAAAGCAACAAAATCTATGTAAAAATATAACCATATATATTTCATTAAATATATTCATTATTATTTAATTTTAACTGCAATTTGGTACATGAAATGATGTCTTTTATGTTAATGGATTTTCTTATGGACCGCTATAACAAACACAATAAAAAATACATCGAGTCTTGGTCAGATCGGGACACTAGCAGAACAGGAGTTAACGGGAATTATTGCATAATATGTATGCAATTGTACAAGACATTAATCACTTAGATTCTCGGTAAATGTGGAACATTACTTTTGTATTATTAAATTGAAACTTTAGTGAGACTTACTAAATTGATAATGATGTTTTTGGCTCATGAATATGAGTGCGGCTTGAAACTAGTTAAGTTCCTCATCAAACAGTTATGTGAGTAAGCTGAAAACATAATAATTACTAGTATTATTTTGTTAATTAAACCTTATTGGAATTTATTTAATATCAGATTCAGGATAGTGTATATTTTTAGAGAGAGGTTATGAAAAGAATACCTCTTTTTTGAGCTGCCGGTATATGAGACACACTAGAAAACACATTGTGTCTTGCATAAAGCTACGTACTAGCTTATTTGAAATACTCCAATCGCTTTTTGTTTCCCTTTACTTAACACTAGTAGCCCGTCCCGGCTTAGCACGGGGTAGTTGTACATTATTTTGTTCTATCGCTAATAGTTTCGGCAGCGCATTGGACGATTTAAGACTCATTTTTCTACACCTTCGGTTACATTGTTCAAATTTGACCAAGGATGCCTAATTTTTTTCAAAATGAAATGTAGCCTATGTCAAATTGGAAGAATGTAGTATTCTATTGGTGAAAGATTTTTTTAAATCGGCCCAGTACTTTTTGAGCCTATTCATTACAAACATAAAAAAATAGGTACAAATCTTTCCTCTTTATAACATTAGTACTTAACATAAACTTAGGTATTTTGAGTATAAATATATCTAGTTTCATGGAGTCTTTTGTCTTTGATGTATGGCAAACGGTCATAAGTGTACTTCCTAATACATGTGACTCATAATTTGGAAAATGTAATCTGAAATACTCAAACGTTACTCAATTTTAAGTTGTGCTACAAATTCTAAGTATAGTTCTGTTACAAATTCTTTGTAACTTATCAGAGATGGCACAGTATTTAACCTGTTGAAAATGATCCCCTAAATTTGTTCATACAAAAGTAGTCTCTAAACATTGGAAATAAGGTCTATAATGTAGTTAGTGGAAAAAGGTCACCGGTGACTGCTTGGGGATGTATGGGTTAAATACAACTTAAAATTGAATACCCCTTCAATATTCAGGTGTTAATGTTGTTGTGTCGAGCGTGTGTCTACTCTTTTAATTTGTTTTATATCAAACTTGCGACCCGCCCTGACTTTGCATGGGTGCAATATCCGTGTAAACATATATAAACATTCCTTAAAAATCACTCTATCTATTAAAAAAAATCCGTTGCGTAGTTTTAACTCGTCGAGTACCGTCATTATAGACACAATTATAGAACAATAGTTTGCGGTGCGGTGCAATTAATTTTGCAATTAATTAGAAATACCAAATTGATATAACGTATTTGTTTCTTCTTTTTCAGGTATGTTTTTAAATATGGAAACTTAACACTGGGTAATACAAGTTACGGTTGTCTTGATCAATTTCAGTTTGACCATGGTGAGACATAGAATTAGGTAATGCAATTTACTTTTTTATATTCTCAATAATAATGTAGAAACTAGAATATTGTACATAAATGAAGTAGGTAATGTGTAAAATTTTTTGAGTGTGCCCCACTTGTTTCAACGTCAAAATCAAAGCATTTCTTTCAATAAATCCTTAATTACCCACTTTTCAAACGTCAAAACCTGAATTGTCCGTCCATCTATCAGTCAGTGAAGCTAGGTGCTTGTTCCAAAGTGTAGTTTCGAATGGAGAAGAACGAACAAGAAACTCAATGGTTACTCCTTTAAAAAAATGTTTTAACAGTCTCATTATCTGATCCTTGATGTTGAGTTTCGCTGTGTGTTACGAAGGCAAATTCTCCAATCAATCAAATCCTAGTTTAAAACATTAGGGCTGGATATTTCCACAACGAATTCATTACGTTACCACCATTTTTCATATCGCGCTACAAAGTAGGTTTTTAACATAAGAGATACACCTGGAATAGTGCTTAATGAACAGAATTTGCACCACTAGGTACTCTGTAAAACGTCTATACATTCTTTGAGTACCGTACTCTTTGAGTACCGTCATTATAGAATAGACATAAAGAACAATAGGTTGCAGTCACCGGTGACCGGTCGGTGTTTGACAGTTTAAAATCTACTTTATTATAAGGCTTTATAAAATTGCATTTAAAAGAACATGTATCACGGATATCTCAGATATATTCGATAGGTCGAGAATGTTTTTTATAAAAATTGATTGGTGAGAAATCGTTTTAAAATACCTGTTTAACTCGTCGAGCACCGTCAATATAGACACAATTATAGAACAATAGGTTGCGGTCACCGGTGACCGCTTGGTGTTTGACAGTTTAAGTGTGGTGAAAAATAACTACTTAGTTCACTCGTGATATTGTCACGGATTCGTTCACATTTTGGAGCGTATTAAAAATTGAAATCGTGAATTGGTACGGAAAAACACTGTCGATATAATATTAGAGGTATAATGTTTTGTGTAGGTACCTACTAAACATTTATGCTGCCTCATTTCAAAGGTTGTCAGAAACGAGAGATAGTACCTAAACGATTCGGATTGTCGCGGAGAACCTAACGGATAACCGGGGCTCCGGCTCAACGTGCAGGAGAAGGAACGGGGTGGTTTTTAATCAGCAAGAGTCTGACACTCCCTCCCGCCTCGCCCAGGCGGGAGCAGTCATTCGATGATTTTCCTCCCTTAAAAAAACGATTCGGATTGGATTCCCAATCAGAACAAAATATTAATATATTTTTCGCTTTTCGAAAACCTTTTCCAAAAACACGATTCGGAAATTGAAACCAAAATCCCCCGTTCGGTAGTCATGCTCGCATTCAACTAAGAAATAGCTTAAACTGTCAAACACCAAGCGGTCACCGGTGACCGCAACCTATTGTTCTATAATTGTGTCTATAATGACGGTACTTGACGAGTTAAAGACAACAATAAATAAAAATATTTCCTAGAAAATCCACTCGGAGGTCAATGATATACTCATCCTTCAATGATATGCGTGATATTGAACCTTAAGAAACCTTAAAAGCAATAATTATGTCACGATCGATCGTAGTTCGTACCTAATAGATGACGTTCTATGGTTTCTGCCTACTAGCGTAAACAAAACCAAGACTTTATGTCTTTGAAACTAACTATTTAATCATCTAACTACTGAAAAAGAATCTGCCTCGGTAACCCTTAAGAAAAAATAACTCTTTCATTTATTTATTTACACTTTATTGTACACCATAAAATCATACAGCGAAAAATAAAAAATGTGTACAATAAAAAGACCGCCCGTCTTATCGCAGAATGCTCTTTCCGTCTAAATATTATACAACGTCCCAAAAACTAACGAAAATCAATTAACCGAATTGATGAATAGCAAAACAAAACAATAAACATGTTACCAAGGGCCATTGAAAAGAGCTTTCGATCCGACCGCCATTAATCTCACTTGAAACGTTACCACGGAATTAATTATCCTCTGACCATACGATTTAATGGGCTTCCTCAGGGACCCTGAGGTTTCCGATTAAATCACTACATCTCATTGGCCGATTTAGTACTGACCGAACCACCCGAGATTTAATGCATCTGGATAAGGTACGTTTGTAAGATATATTGCTATTTGGTGATCTGGATAACTTTTGAAGGATACAAGAAGTAACTGTTCTTCAGGAAAGTTTCTAATGGTGTTTAGTGGTCCATTATTTGTTGAAACAATTTAATTTCATGTTCTGGACCCAAAAAAAAGAAATAATTGTACTGTTTGCACTACTTTTGACATTTTCTACCGAATACTAATTTTATAACTTTTCTGTAGAACAGTTTTATTCTTTAGTGTCACCAAATACTAAAACTCCGGGTTAATTCTATCGCATGAGTATAATAAGTACGTTAACATCCCTACACACACATAGCTTAACTGCCATGGTCTTTCTAGCCGGATTTATTGTTTTGGATCCGGTCCTTCGGTCCAAGTAGCCCTTTGCCCTGCCCGATTGTTAATCTGAACTTAGGTGTACTTTTCACCTTCATCGTTTCGGACCAAGACGGTCTTATATCGCCGAAAATGTTCAGTTACGGGGTGCTCACAATAATGACTTCAAAACCGATTTTCTTCTAGTTTTTATTTAAGATCTGAACCATTTGTGAAGGACGTGAAACGATGATGTAAACGCAATTCGTTCTCTGTTTTCGAAACAACTTTGAAACTGCTTCTTCTATACGATTTCTTCAACAAGTTCAACATTAAACACATCTTTTCGGTTTCTCAAAAACGTGACTACAGAATCCTTATGTTCACGTTTTTATTTCGCCATTCAAAACTGAGTCCACTTCAAGCGCAGACAATATACATCGTGTAACATTTTAATTAAAACCAAGTTAAGCG